ATGGATGGATGGATGGGATAGATGTATGGATGGATAGGATGGGATGGAAAGAGATGGGATTCAAGGAATGCCCGTATTGTAAACCCAACTCCACCCCGTAGTATTTTCCTAACCTCAACGATTCCGAAATCATTGAAAATGGTGGACAAGCGAAATAAAAGACCAGTCAGAGAGCCATAAAAGTTAAATTTCAAAGTTAACTTACCGGGTCTCCACCAGTTGAGTTTTGCGCTTTTTTTGCCGTCTTACTCGACGCACCGACCATATTTCCAATCCCAGAAAACAAACTCTTGGCCGTTGTGTCCAAATTTCGTGAACTATCTGCGCCGGAGAGGTAACTGCCCATGTCATCCATGGCTTTGATTGACGCTTCCTAAATATGAGAAACGACGATCAAAATCTAATACTAACTGATATGATATCTTATCGTCAAGTCAGGTATCGAGCTACCGCTACCCCACCCTTGATATTAAATCTAATGTATCTAAATCATTTTTGACAAAAATCTTATAAAGAAATAGCACACATTTCCTTCTGACCTGCGCATCTTCCTTGACTTCGTCAGTGGCCTGGGTCAGAGAATTCAAGGCTTCTCCTTTCTGCGCAACACCGTCAAATGAATCCGCGGGCATGTTGGTCAGCGATTTTGCGATCTCACCACGGAACTGAATTACGAAACACGAAAGATGTCAAGATTTTAAATGGATATTTTTTATGACATTCATAAAAGGTCTTATCTTCTTTAAAAAAATACTTGTGTTGAGAGTATCCCCAAACCTAGATCAGTCCAGTCTTCTGAATAATTCAAACCTGAATAATTTTCAGTTATTGAAAGCAAAAAGATGCCTAGTATCGCACAATTGACCCACTTACGTTGGCTCTTTCATCTTGGGCAGCATGGTCACTAGCGTTAGCCTTCTCTGCTTTAGAGTTCAGCACCGAGCTCACAGCGTTCGTTACTTGGGTCGCTTCTTGTGGGTTTCCTGAACCTACTGCTGATGCTACACTACTACCAACTTGATCGTAGTCTACCTTGTTTGGTTCAGTAACCTGGTCGAGAAGAAACTTGATTAATCACGTGGCAAGTGGCATAGTCACGTGAGAGTTAGTCACGTGATGACTTCAATTGATCATGCAAGCATATGAGAAACGCTGAGACGCTTAAATACCACCTCACAGGACTCAGAGGTCACTAGTGTGCGCGTGGATATTTTTTCGTTAAATATCTTGTCCCGAGTGTTTGCGCGCGTTATTTATCGTGAAATTCCGCTGGACACCATGCCAGAAGACGGTATAAAAGCACTACACATAAAATAATGACTATAATATGTGTTTAGGATGCATTGACCGTCTCATTTAGCTTATGCTACCAGAGAGCAAACGGAAGAAGCGAACAAGTAACGTGATTCGCGAACGCGCACTGGCGATTTTCCTCTGAGCCCTATGACCACCTCGAGACTTTTCCTTTTTTTATGGGTTGGGTTTTATCTTTAGTTTTTCCCCCGACTACTTTGGACTTCAATACTGTCTTTTTTCGATGCTGTCTTCATTCCCACACATACAGGCTACTTGTGGCAGTTCTACTAAGGTAATGACACCATGCTTACCCGAATGCTAAATTTGGTGGAAGTCGCCAGGAAAAATTTATCCATGACTTTGATCCTGACTTCCATGGTGTAGTTGGTTTCAGCTTTGCCGAGTGGGAATACCGCTGACGTTACGGGCTCAAAGCCGGTGAACACAGGAACAATGTCCCCGCCATTGGCTAATTCTGTAACAAGAAAGAAATGTAATAAGACGATAAAAAGAGGCTATAACCTGCCCCTTATTCTACCTGTCACCGCTCCCAAACACACGTGTACTTTTGGGAGAATTAAAAAATGTTTTGGAGTGTATAAGAAATAAAAAAACGATCGCCTAACGTGCACGGCCCTGTTCCCAGTGAGGTATGCATGATTTGCACATCGAGTCGGAAAAGCGAAGTAGTGGATGATCTAGTGTCCAACATGCAGTTTTAGTATTCTCCACAATTCAACAGCTCAAAT